CGACTTGAAGAACTAGAGAGACAAGAAGAATTGCTGGGTGAAATTGATATTGATAGGTACCTAATGACAGATTTCCTTACACACATTTCCTTATAAAATATGTGCCCCTTGAATAAAATACAGAAAAGCACATTATACTAAAATATCAATAACCCTACCACTCTAAGGCAAATATTAATTCTCTAGAATATCTTCCTTTAGGTCAGTGTGTTCATGCACAGGCCCCATACATATGTGTGTAATAGAAATACTTAAAATCAATATACTTGTTTCTTATTATAAGATTTCAGCCATATTTTATATAATAAATTAAGATACCAAATATTTATAATTATGAATACTTTATATGTTACATTTTAAATGAGTTATTTTTTTACTGTAGTTAAGATAATGTAGTATGTTTGAATGACTTGTTAAAAAGAAAAATAAGCATTCAGTTTGTTTGTGGCTATAAAGTGTTTATCCTTGCTTTCCTTTGCAAACTTTTTTGCTTATTGAGCAGGTAGTTTGTAATCTGGGCTTCCCTGGTGACTCAGTGGTAAAGAATCTGCCTGCAAAGCAGGAGATGCAGGTTTGATCTCTGGGTTGAGAAGATCCCCTGGAGAAGGAAATGGCAACTCACTCCAGTATTCTTGCTTGGAGAATCCCAGGGACAGAGGAGCCTGTGGGCTATAGTCCGTGAAGTTGCCAAAGAGTCTGACATAACTTAGCAACTAAACAACAACAAAATTTGTAATCTGGTCAAGTAGTTATAAGTATGAAAAACTTGACCCAGTTACCGTTTGAAATACACAGTGGCTCTTACTCCGAATTGTCAGAGTGCTTAGTGAAAGGTGTTAGTTACTACAGAAGTTGCTATATTATTTTACTTAAATGATATGCAGAGTTAGTTACTGTGAAAAATAAGACACAAAGAATATTTTTTTCACTACAATTTCACCTATACTTAGGTCTTTTTAATTAACTGATACTGTTTCATTTTTGTAAATCAATTTTGAATCTTGTGATTTTCTTCCTTGTGATACTTTTTCAATTTTTGCATGATGTTGTTTCCATTCTGTTGCATTTCTGGTTTTGTTATTTTTATAAGGTCCTCAAATTCTTTGTAGAATGAAGCATGGGAAATGTGTATGTATGTGTATAAATCATGTACATATGTAGAAGTCTTAGTTTAAAAATTATAACAATACATGCTTATAAAATATTTTGATTATGAAAATAGAAAATTAGAATATGTTACAATTCTGTGGCTGTAATTTCTGGTCTTCAAATAGAGATAACATTCTCTGTGAGTTTTGCGCTAATTTATGATTGTATTATTTTATTTTATATGACCAATATCTTCCTTGCAAAGATAAAAAAATATTCTACTTATGTTTGAATAGCTACAGTATAGAATTAGCATAGAAACCATTTTTTCATTCATTTCAAAACATTTTTATTAACCTAGAAATCTAGTTTAAAAATAATCTATGCAAAACCTTATTTTTTACCCATTGAAATTAACTGAAAAAGTTCTAATGTATTTGTTTGACCTTGTTTTGTTTTTCTTTACTATTAGTAGTAAGCCTGATACTGTGATTGCAAATGGAGAAGATGTGTCCTCTGAAGAAGAAAAGGAAGATCAGAACATAAATGTGAATATGATGCATCAAGTAACAGACTCTCTCACCCTCAGCAATTGTTATAACAGTCTTACAAATTCAGAACTCTTCAATGGTCAAGTGAATAGTCCATTGAACTATTCAGTGAATGGTTCAAATTCTTACCACAGTAATGAAGATGATAATGATGATGGTGGTGATAATGAAAATGACCATGATACCTTAGGGGTTGAAGATAATTCTATACCAACAATATATTTTTCTCACACTGTCGAACCTAAGAGGGTTTGTATACTTTTAACTTTAGTAATTTTTTCATAGGATTTGAATATTAATGATCATCTACAAAGCTCTTTAAAAGAACAGTAGTAACAGGGATTAATATTGTTGATAATACCAAACAAGAAAACCATCTTTTGCCTCTTGTTATGACCAGTTTTATCTGAAAGAGAAAAAGAAAAAAGTCTGGATAGTTAGTTGGTATTGGTCTGTTGTTCCCTTGAAGCCACAGTACAATTTGAAATTTGGTGGTCGGGAAGGAGATCAAATGAGTATTTGGGTATATTTATGATGAAAGTAACTGGCATTAGTTAAATTTTTAATTATATCAGGTTGTTTCTGTGTGAGCATATAATGAATAGGAGCATGACGAGCAGAAAGGAAAAATTTATCAGGAAATAAAAATTCGTTCCATTTCTCACAAAGTAAATATAAGCATCTCTGGGTATTCAGGACTTTATAGAGTTTTGGTATTTTACAGCTGGGGGTTACTAGAGCGAGAGCTTCTAATACAGCTTTTCTTAGTATCAAAAGACTTTTTGTTCCCTCTTTACTTATTGTAGAATCCCCAGTTTTTAAATCCCAGATCAAAGCAGGTTGGATCTCACTGAAGGAAGGACCTTAAACTCATTCCCTTGCTCTCTTGGCCTCATAATACTGCTTTAAGGAGCCACTGGGAATTTCATCTTTCTAATTTGTCTTTCTCAAGGAAACTTAAGGCATAGAAGACCATAGAGTGAGTTAGTAATAAAACAGGGACCCTTTTGTCTTAATTTAGTGCTTTTCTTTGTTCTTTTTCTTTTTTTTAGCTATAAGCTACCCTTGTAGGTGTTGCCTGTATCAAAGTTAACGGTCTGTGGTTATCAGTCTTAAGTGCCTGTGATTATTATTTAATGAAACCTATTTAAAACATATTTACTATTTCTTAGGTCCTTTTAAGTGTTCCCTACTCTAATGTGAAGTGAAACCATATAATTATATGGTTTTTTAAAATATATATTCCCATACTTCAGACTAAAAGAACATCTTGTGAATTCTTTGGAAAAAATTGACCTATTACCAGAAAAAAATTTTTGTTTTGTGATTTTCTTTTTAAGCTTTAAGTTGGTTTTCATTTAGATAAAGCAGGAAGAATAAATAATATTTGCAGGAATGTTGTGGGGAAAAGCAGTCATTAATATGGAAAGATGGTATAAATGCCGAATAGGGATAGAAGAATAATGTGTTAATCCTGAATAGCTTTGATTTTATTTTTTTGATCCTTAAATTTTTAAAAATTAGAGGTATTTAAAAATTTTAAATAGTTAAGCATTATCTCATATTGTTTTTATGACTTAAATTTTATATTCCTACTGAGTATTTATTTTGGTTAATTGTGCTCTTTGTTTTGAAATGCATAATTTAAGCCAAAAACTTATATCAAAGTAATGGGTGATGTGAAAGCTTATGATAATCTAGCATTTAGTTTGAATGTATTTTGCTTTTTGTATAATAATAGTTGCTGATGACTAGAATGGTCATTTAAAACTAGGCCCCAACCTTTTTTGGCACCAGGGACTGGTTTCATGGAAGACAGTTTTTCCATGGATGGGGCAGGATCGAGGGGAATGATTTGGGGATGATTTAAGTGCATTACGTTTATTATGCTGCTGCTGATATGACAGGAAGCCGAGCTCAGGAAGTAATGTGAGCGATGGGGAGCAGCTATAAATACAGATGAAGCTTCGCTTGCTCGCCTGCTGCTTATCTCCTACTGTGCAGCCCAGTTCCTAGCAGGCCACAGACTGATACCAGTCCATGGCCCAGGGGTTGGGGACCCCTGATTCAAGAAGTAATGCTGTAGAAGTATGATAAAGTAAGGACTTTTTAGGTCTTAACTGATAATGCACATTATTTCAGTGTCAAAATATGTAAACTGACTCTATTACTATTATTTCATTAATTGTAGAGTTTATTGGTTTTAGTTTTGACCTTAATTTCTCAAAAGGATAGTGATTTTTTTGCTGTGAAATTTTTAGGTCCGTATAAATACTGGAAAAAATACCACCTTAAAATTCAGTGAAAAAAAAGAAGAAGCCAAGCGTAAGCGAAAGAACAGTTCTGGCAGTGGTCATTCTCCCCAAGAGCTGCCTATGATCAGGACTCCTGCTGACATTTACAGGTGAGTGGTATTCGTAGACAGCAGAGCAATCTGCTCTTCCCTACTCCCTTTTTGCAACTGAGTATTTACAGGAAAAGGTTGCTCGTAACACAAAAGTCTCTCACTGGAAAGTGAGGTATTTTGATAAGAGCTCTGTGTTTTAAAGGCTCTCACAGGAGCTGCTGAGCCCCAACGCAGTTTCCCAGTTCAAAGCAAGTAGAATATTGCTCAGTTTTTTTGCATTTCCCTTCTTCACTAGTGCTTTTAAAACATTCCCAATCTGGTCAAAAATTGTATGTTAACTTTAGAAATGAAAGTTTGTGTTTCTGGTGTGCTGGGGCAGCACTTTGCTACCAAACCTTTGGCAGTGCTTAGTTAGCCATGTGGTTTACCTTTTCACAGAGTCTACGCATGCTCTTTCAATTTTTTGTTGTAATGTTTGCTGAGAAAGCCGTCATTTGAAAATATCTACTATTTTCATGACCCTTATTTGTAAAATAGTGAAAATTGCTAAATGACTTCAAAAATTATATGTACATTTTGGACAAAACAATCAAGCTGTTGTCACCCAGAACATGCTTATAAATAAACTGCTGTATTTTATTGGGTCAAAAAAATATACTTTTAGAAATATTGATAATATAAGGTGTCATTTGAGGCCACAAAATTATTGTGATAGTGAAAATTTTGGATATGTTTGAATAAAATATTTTAAATTAATTTCTGGAAAAGACTTTAAAAAATCTCTATAAATTTATCCTGTTTTATGTTAACTGAAGAGTGTGTATATAATTTTTGTATTATAGGGTCTTTGTTGATATTGTGAATGGAGAATATGTCCCTCGTAAGTCAATCCTGAAGTCTCGAAGTAGAGAGAACAGTGTTTGCAGTGATACCAGTGAAAGCAGTGCTGCTGATTTTGATGATAGACGGGGAGTTTTGAGAAGCATTAGCTGCGAAGAGGCTACTTGTAGTGATGCTAGTGAGAGCATTTTGGAAGAGGAACAACAAGAAAATCATCAAAAGAAACCTTTGCCTTTATCAGTAACACCTGAGGTTTGTGTATATCTTTAATTCTTCATTTCATAAAGTATCTTTGAGAGTTAAAAAGGTAGTGGTAGCTCCATTTCAAAGGGATATGCAACTTTAAATTTTCCCCATTTTACATAGTTATTTTGGGAGTTGAAAAGACTTAAAAACTTGTAGCTGCTGTATCTTCCAGGTATGGTCTATGAATGATTAATCTTATTGTCTTTATTTTATTTTGTATAGTTATTTATTGACATTAATTGACAGGGTAATGGCATTGTTTATTTTGTAGCTTCTTTGGTTTATACATATATTTAATCTCAGAAGTCATAGAGCCTAATTAATCGTAAGCTTGTAATTTTTCTGGTAATTAATAATTTATAAAAGTCCTTAGCAGCTCCAGTATTCTTGCCTGGAGAATCCCGAGGGCTGAGGAGCCTGGTGGGCTACAGTCCATGGGGTCTCAAACAGTCGGACATGACTGAAGCAACTTAGCACAGCACACAGTCCTTAGCAAAAACAATATAGGTATTAAAATAAAATAGTTTGAAATTTTTTGGTAACAGAGTATTACCACTCTTGAAGTTCTATTTCTGTGAAATAGGAATTTTAATGTATCTTAATTAAAATATGTATTTCATTTTTGGTTAGAAATTGTTGGTTTTTGGCCATGCTGTGCGGCTTGTGGGATCTTAGTTCTCCAAACCAGGGATCCAAGCCATGTCCCCTGCAGTTGGAAGCATGGAGTCTTAACCACTGCACCAATAGAGAAGTCTCATGGTTAGAAAATAATTTAGCAGCTTTTTAAAAATAAATTCCACTAGACCAGACTTATAGCCAATGTTATAAAATTAAAATAGTTCAAGTAGCAGATTATGTGTGTGGCTGTGTGCACACTCAGTCCCTCAGTGGTGTCTTGACTCTCTGCAACCCTGTGGACTGAAGCCCGCCAGGCTCCTCTGTCCATGGGATTTTACTGGCAAGAAAACTGGAGTGGGTTGCCATTTCCTCCTCTAGCAGATCTTCCCGACCCAAGGGACAAACCTGCGTCTCCTGCATGGCCGGCGGATTCTTTACCGCTGAGGCACTGGGGAGGCCCAACAGATTATACTTTTCTCTTTTAAATGCTTTGGTAGAGTTAAAGAAGAAAATGAGTACGTATGACAGATAATTATCTATAGTTCTTCTATATTTTGACTTGTGCTGGTGAAATTTTTAACTCTTGGAAGTTATGGAACCATTTTATAGTCTAGTGAGAGCTGTAGATCCTCTCCTCAGAAAAATGAGTGCACACATACACTGTTACCCACCACGTTACACAGTTTTGTGTATGGGGAAAAGAATGATACTGGGAGATATCAAAATAAGAATGTTATGGTTTCCATTATTCCCACACTTGATTTTTTTTATTCTTGTGTTTAGTGGGTATTTCAGATTTTGATTTAAAAATATTTGGAAACACTGGGGAACTCAGGCCCTTATCAAACTGATATACCCATTTGAGTATATGACAAATACATATTAAAATATTTATCTTTGTATATGAGTAAACATACGTAAAACTTCTGTTGCTTGTACTAAATGTCCCTAGATGGTACAAATGATACTAAATAGTAATTGTAATGGAGAGATCATTAGTATTTAGGTACAGTTTGTATGGTTAGAATATTCTCCTTCCCTTCTCCCAACATAATTATCTCATTTGACCTGGAAAGTATCTTATTTAATAGTCTTCCATACTGTTAGAAAAATAAGTGATAGACTTTTGCTGTTTTTAAGTATCTGAAAATTAGGTTTCAGTAAGGAGTTAATGTATCATGATATAGTTAGAATTCAAGTCTAGAGTTTATTTTCATTTCATCCTATTTAATAGCTTTGCATTTTGTATTGAACTGTTACAGTTAGCATCTAGATGCTATAAATTTTTTAATGTCAAAATAAATAGTTCATGATTATGGAAAGTACTTTGAAAGATATTTTTCCATATCTTTAAATGTTAAAATATTCTTTTTCAAGAGCATTTTTTGTATAATAAGAAGACTCTGTACTTACCATGATAAAATAGAGGTTTTAGAAAAGTAGACTTTGAATTCCCTTTAAAAAGCTGTACTCCACCCAGGGTCTCTCAGGAGTGTGGGAAGGTCAGGGCATTCTTGGTTCTCCTTTGGTGGGGCAAGCTGGAGCAGATTGGCTTTTTAAACTACTCAAGTGATACATTGTCTTAACTGATTTGTTCACTTGGTAGACAAAAGAGAGTAAAATATACTTGACAGTTTGCGTGTCACATGTGTGTCAAATTTAAGTTTGTACATAATGAGTTTTTAGAAGATGAAAGTAAGGAGATTCCAAATACTAGAAATGTTTAAAAAAAATCATAGCAACTTGATTTTGATGGATCTCTTCTTAGAAATATATAGAAAAGACCTATCTTTGGTTTTATTTCCATTTTGTACACAGTATATACATTTATACATACATTTTATATACATTATATATACACTACAGTAGAGAAAAAGAAAAAAATGTCCAGCAAATAGGGGTTGAAATAAAAGAATAATTTTTGTGGTGTCTTGATTTCTGTTATTTATTGCATTAAAATTTGAGATAGACAGTTATTTCCACTAGCACCAGCACTTTTAGTTTTCTGTTTCCACTGACCTCAAATAAAATTGAGGCAAGATGCAATAAAATAATCAAATAATTGCATAAATGGACACCACCTAAGAGATGTCAGTGCTGCTGAAACTAGGCTGTAGGCTTGCAGGCAGCATGGCCACCATAGGAGAGCTCATTCATCAGTTGATGTTTGACACTGTAATAGAATTTTTAATTTTAATACATTATTTTTCACAGCATGATCTGGATATAAATGGAATGAATATATGAAAGTTGAGAACCTTTTATTTACCCATTTTTTGAAAATCCCACATGAACATGTTTTTTACATTTTGTTTTCTTAACATGTGTACTATTAAACATCTACTTATATTTGGTGGTGTAATTAAGATACTTTTTAATGGTACTTGATTTCTATGAGCAATTTGTATTTTGATGTTGTAGTTTTGTGTATCAGAAAATCTAATGAAAAGAAATGTCTGTTCGGCAATGCAATGCAGGATAAAGATTTTGTAGGCATCTTATTTGTGTTTTGTTAGCATAATCTGATTTTGTTGTCTTTTAGGCTTTTTCTGGAACTGTAATAGAAAAAGAGTTTTTGTCACCCTCCTTAATACCACACCCAGCCATGGCTCATCCTGTGCTGCCCACCATTCCAGAACGAAAAGAAGTTCTCTCAGAAGTATCAGAAGGAACTACAAAGAGGGTTTCAAAGTTCAAAGCTGCCAGACTGCAGCAGAAAAACTAGGGCTGCCTAGAAAGTGGGAGTTCACCTCCTAAAACCTAGTTTTGCAAGTGTTTAGAAAATGTATAGCAAAATATGTTACATGTAATTTGAAGTAAGTCATCCTGAGTAAATTTGGCACCAAGTTCTCTTACTCTATCAGTGGTATTAAAAAGAAATCAAAGTAAATATTTAAATACTTTTAATTTTCAGCTTGTTTTGTTAATTCTCTGAATACCGTCAACACTCATTGTTTAGGTTTGCTGTGTCATACGGTAGCAGCATTTTGAATTATTTTTCAAAGAATGCTGTTCATATGTGTTGTTTTTGTGTTTCAAACTAAATACTGGCAGTTTTGTTCCAGCTGTGATATTGTGCACACCATATGGACCATTTTAAAGAAACTTTTAAAATTTCAAATAGATTCAACAATTATATTACTTGCTTTACCTTTTTAAAGGCACTTTAAAAAAAAAATCTACTTCTTGTAGGTTTTGCAGCTAGGTGGCTATTTAAAAAATCTGTCCCTGTTTGACTGACTGTTATTCTATAATCTCTATGGTAGAAAGCTCCATGTACCCAACAGAAAGTTTCTTTGGTTGAAAGAACGGTATTTTGTAAAACATTTTTTTTTTTTAAGTAAAAATTTTATGAAACTTTGTCTCTAAAATGTTGTGAACTTTATGATTCAGAATTCAATATAGAAGTGTCTTTCATGTATATGCTACATGCACCATACAGTGGATCCTTGAATTCTTATGATTCCCTAGGCAATTCTCCCCTAGTGTGTGCAGTTTTAAATGGTGTTTTATTTTGGGAGAGAAGGAAAGTTGTCTAGATAGAAATACATAAGTAAATTTTCTTAAATCAGAAATTTTATGTTTTAATCTTCTGAACATTTTTGTTCTTTAAGGTTACTTTCCTACTAGTAAATAATTGAATAACATTTGCTTTTGGCAGAACTTCTTAAAATAAAGAGAAATTTATTGTAACATTGAAAATTACACTTGCAAGTGTTAATCATTAGTTTGATGCATGCTAAAATGTAGCTTTTAAAAAGCATTCTGCATTAGTACTAAAATAGCCATCAATGCCAGTCCACCCTCTATTCATGGCTAAATATTTAAAGGTTATTTATAGCTCTTTAATGAATTCTTGCTTAAACAAAGTGAAATTATGTCCTAGAAAAGTAGAAGCTATTTGTAACTAGAGCAGCACAACTGTAAAAATTTTATGAATATGTATCTTAGTAATAAGGGGATGAGCCTGAATCCCCACAAGTTAATGGATAATTCAGAACAGAGAACTGATTTTAAAAGATTGCCTAAAAATGTAGGTTTTTTTCTTCAGTAAATTTTGATCAATTGTATATATTTTTAGTTGAAAACTTTTTCGCTCAGCACCCCCCCCCCAACAAAAAAGGAAAATAACCAAGAGTATAATCCCATGCACACAAAAGAGCCCACAGTTCCAACTGCTTGTCAGGTGACCCTTTCTCTGATTTTCCCCCAGAAACAGACTGCATTACGGGGTTACTGTGGTGTTCTTTACAGACATGTAATTTCAAGAGTACTGTCATTAAATAATTTTTCATGTTTTTCAACTTCATCTTGAGCCTGTTGTTGTTTATGTAGGTTTATATTTCTTCTTGCAAGTAGATGTTTTCCATCATGGAACAAAATGGTAGTAGAAACAAAGAAGTGTTAGATTTTCTGCTGAAGACCAAATGAAGGAGTGTTGCCCCATTTCATAGCTTCAGTCTTAAAACAGAGTTTCAAATTGTAAGTTAACCATATACCTTTATTTTTTATGGTTAAATTCAGTATTCAGTATGATAAAATGAAATTGTCTTAAGTGTTCTCTTTTAAATCATTGTAAAATACAACAGACTGAATTTTTTTTTAAACTTTTAATTTTGAACTAATTTTAGATGTACAGAAAAATTGGCCAAAAATAGTAGATTTCCCATATATCCCCTCATCTAGCTTCTCCTAAAGTCATTTCATCTTGTATGGCCAAAATACAATTATTAAAACCAAGAAATTCACTTTAGTACAATACTATTAACTAACTTGCAGATCTTATTTGAATTTCACCCACTTTGCATTCAGCATTATTACTGTGATATTTGCCTAATAGTGGTTTTCTGTTTTGCCCATTCTTTCAACATTTATTTCTTTGAATTCTTTTGTGATGAAAATCTCATTCACCTCCCTGACCCCTGTTCCATTTATTAATTCATTTCTTTATATCAGTATGGACTTGGATATTCTGTTCTATGAGTCAAAATCCAATTATCATCATTTTGTTGGCTCAAATTTTCTACCTTTGACCTTTAGGAACTCCTTTGAGTTGACTCCTGAATTCTTTGAACAAGTCTCCATCTCTTTTTGAACACTCTTTCTGACATCACATAATGTTATAGGCGTATCTTGTATTTTTCCCACCCCAGCCTGGGAACTGGAGAAGGCAATGGCACCCCACTCTAGTACTCTTGCCTGGAAAAATCCCCTGGACAGAGGAGCCTGGTAGGCTACAGTCCATGGGGTGACTGAGCGACTTCATTTTCACTTTTCACTTTCACGCATTGGAGAAGGAAATGGCAACCCACTCCAGTGTTCTTACCTGGAGAATCCCAAGGATGGGGGAACCTGGTGGGCTGCCATCTCTGGGGTCGCACAGAGTCGGACACGACTGAAGTGACTTAGCAGCAGCAGCCTTGGAACAATAACCACTTCTCCAAAGAGCCCTTGATCCTTTTGTTGGACAATGGTGTTTAAAAATCAACATCTTCTCATGTAGGTGTGTATATTACCATTTTGATATTGTTGTTTCTAGGCTCTTTTAACAGGTGTAGAAAGTTTTGTTATTAACTAATGTACATATATATATATATATATATATATGTTTGTCTGCTTATGTACATTAAAAAATGTAAGTTTATACAGATACTTCCTGACTTTAATATAAGAACACAGGGTTCATTTTAGGTTTTTTTTTTTTTTAATTTATGACTTCTTTCTTCAATAGTGAGAAATCTAGCTTTTATTATATATAATGTGTTTACTTATTTTTAAAATATCTAATACAGTTGCCCCTTGAACAGCTCTGAGGTTGGGGCACTGACTCTCCCCACAGTCAAAAATTGGCATATAACTTTACAGCTGTCTGTAGTACTGTGGTACATATCTCCTGAAGAGAAAGAACCCAGCATGTAAGTGAACAGGCACAGTTCACACCCATGTTGTTCAAAGGTCAACTGTTGACACATACAAGTAGTTTCAGACTGTTGACCCTAATCCCCAGGAGAAAAACATTTATTAAATATATTTCATTATTTATGTTCAGTTCTTTTTTAAGTATCAGTCAAGAAACTTTTCTGAGGTTCTTTTTCTATCTCCTTCCCTTTATTGTGATCTTTCATGTATAAAGGAGTTAGGATCATTTGTTAGTGTTTGTGTTCCAGTTTGAATTCTCCTCATATTGTGGTTGGGTTTAATGGTTTATTTGGGGTGTGTATGAAGGGTATACGAAACATTAATGTGGTTCTAAGAGTCACAGCTATATAAAAAGATATATACAGAGAAGATAAACATTCCACTCTTTGTGCCCCATTCTTTTTTAATTGATAACAAGAGGTATAACACTTTTTTGTGTGTAGATATAACAGTTTATTCAGCCACTTTGCTGTCTATAGACATTTAGATTTCTGATATTTTGCAATTGCAAATGATGCAGTGAATAACTTTGTTGTATATATGTATTTTTGTATCATTGGAAGTATCTTCTGGGTCGATTTCTAGAAGTAGGATTAATGATCTATCTTTGCAGTATGATTTCTTTTAAACATGGTAAAAGTATGTACAGCAAAGTATTTGTGTTCTCTTGTCAAGGGGTTTTAACAAATTTGCCTGCATATCTACATTTTATTGGTGATTCTTTAATATTAACTTCGGGACACTCTAATGTCCTAAAGGGACTTTAAGGGTTTATAGTGATCGTGCTCATTTTGCTATATTTTTATTTTGGGGTGGTAAGGGAATTGGTCAAGCAAATGATTTATAAGACCTTTCTATAATTTGGAATATTCCTAGTTTTATAAGATACAGACACCTCATTATATTTGTTTTTCTCCTTCATAAGAAACAGCTAATCAAGGATGCTAGTAGTTTCTGTGTATCTTTTCCGTGCGTGGTATATAGGCGTTCAGTTAAATGCCTGTTAAATGAATTCCTTAACTACAATAAATATTTATGGTTTTATGTTTAATCCATTGGTCAATATTGTGAAGTTTTTACATTTTACAGTGCTTTATCAATTATTTTGATTTCATTTTAAAGGAACATTGTTTAGGATATGAGGAAGTTTTTGCAGTTCCCTTAAATAACTGATGAATCATAAAGAATCAAGTAATTTTGATCATTTACTCTGTGTCAAGCATGTTTTGTGTACTTTATGTGAATTATTTCATTTAAAACTCACAGCAGCTGGGTGAGGTAGGTACTATTTTTCAGTCCTTTTCCTCCCACTCCTCTCCCCCATTTTAGAGATGAGGAAACTAATTCAGAGAGATTGAACAACATTTTTAAGCCACAGAACTACTAAGTAATGGAATTGGGGTTTAAAACCCAGGCAGCCTTGCTCCAGAATCATCAGGTTTTCCTGTTTTTAAAAAATTTAAATTTTTTGCCCTCCAAATAAGAGTGCATAGCTAGTAAGGAAGTGTGTGCCCTGTATATCTGTATAATCTTGTTTATTCATAATGAGGCCACCTTTTAAAAACTATGAGTTGGAAAACTTTGTTTCTTAAACTTTAAACATAAAGAGAATTCATTTTGACTTTTTGGAATGGAGGTGAAGTTTCAGTGATTTGGCTCTATGTATAAAAGGAGTGTGCGATGGAGAAAAGTAAAATGAAAGAATCAGTTTAACAATATTTCATTGAAAAATTCATTCTTATGTGAATGGGGGCAGCAGAGGGTGAGATGGTTAGATAGCATCACTGACTCAATGGACATGAATTTGAGCAAGCTCCGGGAGTTACTGAAGGACAGGGTAGCCTGGTGTGCTACTGTCTGCAGGGTTGCAAGGAGTTGGACCCAACTTAGCAACTGAACAACAACAGACATTATTATATATGTGACATATATGCATATTTTATGTGTAAACAGTGACTTACTCTGCTGTTTTGAGCATTCTTTTTACCTGCTTGATTATTGCCTTCTATGCCCCAACTCTACAACTCCTTTTAATACTGTTCAGAAAAACTTTGTTTTTCTATTTGTTGACTTGAAAATTATATACTTGGCTATATTTTAATTTTTGACACTTTTCTATAAAAATGTGCATTTTCCAGACAGTGTGGTGATCACTTTAGTGTTTGTGGTACTTTGGTTCCATTTTTTAAACAGTTTTATTGAGGAATAATTTGTATGCCATAACATCCCTTTTTTCTTTTACTTTTTTTAAAGTATAGCTGATGTAGCTTCCCTGGTGGCTTAGTGGTAAAGAACCCATCGGCAATGCAGAAGACCTGGTTTGATCCCTGGGTTGGGAAGATCCCCTAGAGAAAAGAAATCTGTGGACTGTATAGTCCATGGGGTTGCAAAGAGTCGGACATGACTGAGTGACTTTCACTTTCACAGGTGTACAATATAGTGATTCACAATTTTTAAGGGTTTTTCTGCACTTGTAGTTATTATAAAGCATTGATTGTATTCCCTGGTTGTACAGTATATACTTATTTTATACATAGTAGTTTATACTTCTTAATTCCCTACCCCTGTGTTTTCTCTCCTACTAGTAATGACTAATTTGTTCTGTTTGTGAGTCTGCTGCTTTTTTGTTATATTCATTCTTTTGTTGTAGTTTTAAGATTCTGCATATAAGTGATACCATTACAATACTTGTCTTTCTCTGTACGACTTATTTCACTTAGCATAATACTCTTGAATTCCATCCATGTTGCAAATGGCAAAATTTCGTTCTTTTTTTATGGCTGAGTAGTATCTCATTGTTTGTATGTGTATTTACACACACACACCTCTTCTTTACCCATTCACCTGTTGATGGATACTTAAGTTGCTTCCTTATCTTGGCAGTTGTCCTTAATGCTTCTGTGAACATTAGGGTTCATGTATCTTTTCAAATTAGTGCTGTTTTTCAGATATATTTCTAGGAATGGAATTTCTGAGTCATATAGTAGTCCAGTTTTTAGTTTTTTGAGAACCTCCTATACTGTTCTCAACAGTGACTACACTAATTTACATTCCCAGCATCCTCGCTCACATTGTTATTTGTGTTCTTTTTGATGCTAGCCATTCTGACAGGTGTGATATGATATCTCATTGTGGTTTTGATTTGCATTTCCCTGATGATTAGTGATGTTGAGCATCTTTTCATGTGCCTGCATAACATTCTTTTTTTAAATATACAATTTGATGGGTTCTAGTAGATTTCAAGTTGTACCACTAACTCATCAAAGAACATTTCCATCATGCTAAAAATATCCCTTTTTTCTCAATTATAGTGAGTTCCCATTCATATCCCCAAGCCTCAGGTAATCACTAATTTGCTTCCTCTTTACAGATTTACCTTTTCTGGATAGT